TCACTGATAAAATTGATAATGTAACTGGTGAAAGTTTTTTATGTGTCTTGGTCACTTAAGATCTCATCCACTGAACAGATTTGACGCGTTGCCTTATAACACATCAGTGCATTTTTTGTGTCCGCATCTGTTAACCTAATTTGGTATTAGGTCTAAGTCACCCCAATGGCATCCGTCTCTCATATCAGTCACGACCATATTATTGATCAAAAGCAAAATATCCAGTATTCTGTTGTGAACAGTGAAGTTCACAGCTGGTGGACTACCATGAATTAGTAACAATGCTGAATCTGTCGGATTCACACGTACATTAAACACCGCATATCACCTGTCAGTTGGCCATTCAAATGAGTGCTGTTATTCTAAACTAATTTCCACAATGCTGGATACGGATACAGCTACATAGACGTCAGCTTCATTTTTTATTTTTCCCGGCGTTCTCCCAGCAGATAAAATGCAGAACGTCGCATTTTTCCAAGAACTAATCACTCCGAATATTGCACGTCACTCACCTCCGAAGTTCGTCCTTGTGCTTGCAGTAACAGTCCAAAGGAGCAGATTGTTATATGGTCCATCGATGTTTAATTAGATGGACACTAGGACAAGAGGATAGAAATCTGCTAAGCCTTTGTCTGGGCTCTCCTATTTCACAGGGTGAAGATGTCATGCATGAATGATGCTGTCTCAGTTATATGCGTATCATTCTCTTTAAGTCCTAGATAAACTAACTGGTTGTGAATTAGGGCACAACTGGGGAGCCAAATCAGGACAACAATAGGATGGTACAGAATGCGGAATGTTTTGGGATCACTACAGTAGGGAACTGATAAGATATCAGCTAGCAAAGACTATTGGGTGGACAACCGGACGTTCCACGATAGCGTGCTGAATGGCACTAGTTACTGAACACAAATCTTTTGCTTAACCAGTTGACTGCTTTTGAAAGTGTATACCGACACTTGTTTGAGATTATTTGCTTCTACTAACCTCCTGCCTTAGTGGTGTTTGGTGGACTTTGTGGTATTACCAAAGGCGAACAATTCAGTGGTTGCACAGTTAGTTAGACGATATTGATGGGTTATTTTACAGTTGTCAGCTGTCCGGTTGTCATCTACTTTAATACTGCAAGTATACACAGACTTGGAGCAACTAATTCCTCCGGTTGTCTTACTTCTATCTTTTCTTTTCCAGTGTTCGTTGCTTCAGGGAAAAAATAAGAGAAACCAGAAAATTTCGTCGTCAGTTAAGTTTATTAATAAGGACGGCTAAATCTGTGCACCCATGAAAAATGCAGTGCAGTTTATGTTAAGCTGAAAAATTCTCTTTATCAAAATAATGTTCATCTGGTTTTGTCTGCTCATGGTTTAGCATACATACTGCCAGTTGGGATGTTGTCCACCACTGTGTGCAGTTGTTATATAATTCCTCACTCTTCTGTTATTCTAATTTGTTTGTAGGCGAGTGGCACTGGCTTATTACTTTTTTTCCTTTTAATTTGAATCTTGCTCTCATTATCCCGGAGTGGATCGGTTCATGAAACATAAGCGCTTTGGATGCTGTTGACAACATTGGGATAGCAAATCCCTCAATGTGCATGTCGCTGTGATTTGGGTGACCAGAGTAGATTACTGACTTTCTATTTAACAGCTTGGAAAATTCACACTCTTGCTATCTGATCTCGCATATTTCCAGTACTCATATTTCGTTTCCTCTATTTTATTCGGCAACCTGGCCGCCTTCCTAGCTTCGTACATTATACGAAAATTTCGCGTCGCCATGCAATTTCTTTTGTCATCAAAAGCAAATACACTGACTAGCTGTCTTCCCAAAATGTTTCACCACTCCGTGTTATTCAGCCTCCCCGATTCGATCAAATAAAAAGTTTATTTCTATTTTTCTTTTGCGCACTGAAGTTTCTGTCGCAGTTGGACTGATGTTCTGTTGTAGGTTCACTAGACCCACTACCAACCATGTTTATTCTTCCCGGTTTAGAACCACCTTGTAAAGTACTTGGAGTTTGACCTACTTAGGTTGTTCCTATTATACACATCTTTGTGACACCCTCTCCCCATCCTAATCAGCTGATGCGTAAGAGTAGATTGCCATGTTCAAGTGAGTATGTACGCATGTTAGGCCTGATGGTGTTAACGAGAAGGAAATTATACCTGATAGATTTGCGTAAGCCTGCATTTTGACACATGCATATATGGCCAAGGGTTTCAACTGAAGATGTATACTTTCGGTGATCTTTCTTCTCAGGAGTAAGGAAACCAACGTTTGCATCTATGACATCTCATACATATAGTAAGCGGCTGCAGCTTCCCCCAATTCACATCGCAACAGTGTTCCATTGCTGAAATAGTCTACCATTTGATAAACTGAGTAACCAACTCGCTATAAATAACCACACTCCAAATCTGGAAGACGCATAACGACACATCATGGTTCACTATTATGTGAAACTTCAATACATTGGAATGCGCTCAGGAATAGTCTTATATTTCGAGCAGGATGCTTAGGGTGACACTAAGTAAGTTATTGTGAGTTTCCTGACTCCTGTATTCTGAGTGATGTTGCAAATTCTCACAGTGCACCTTGAATGTTCTTTAACGTATTAATGCACTATGATGCCACGCCATCTTTTTATTTCCGGCATGACTGCTCACACGTGGTTCGTCCCATTGTTGCGCTACCATTAAGAGCACTCTTAGAGCTTACTAACCAGCCAGGCAACATGTAAGTTGAACAACATTCTTATTTATCAAAACTGATATTTAATCTGTGTAAAATATAGCTCTCATCATGACACACTACCCAGTCTCAAGCCTTTTTACTTTGAGTCCGTTAATCGGTGCTTACACGCTAGGTAGAGTACTGATAAGGGTATTAAAGGGAGAAGTCTTTAGTAAGTGCGTTTAGTTGAGGTCTGTCTGAAGTTCAATCAACACTTATAGTCTCCTTCATCTTTACGCCACCTAGTTGTAGGTTTTTGTTTATATGTGGTTCTACTTCCCAATTACCATGTGTAGCCTCACATCATAATGAATTTAGACGATTGTTTAAATGATTACAGGGGCTTGTTGATCTCATATTGTTAGCAGAGTTAAACACAGCTGTTATCTATTACTAAGTGCATGTTGATCTCATACTAAATAACAAGAATTGAAGCAGTGTATATAAATCCTTATTGACACACGATACAGAGTTGCAATAGTTTAGGTACTACAATAATCGAAATACAGAGAAAACCATGGTTACATTGTTTCGCAGAAGAGAACGCTATCAGATGTCTACAGACTAAGTTCAATATGCAGAAACTTAGTATAACCAGCCTGCCACCAGATATATTTTTGCATCTCTATACCAATGATTATTAAATACTCCTTGAGTTAAGTTTCCATGCATTTTCCGTATTTACTTTTATTTAATGAAGAGAATCTGTAAAACAACAATTCCTTATCCCGCAAATATTTTCGTTCTTGTTTTGTCTAAATTCCATTTTACAGTATAGATGATAGTTTACAGGTGCACCTCTAATTCCCTTATGCTATAATTTCAGTAGTAGTTTAAAATTATCTATTTAACATTTTCAAAACCATAAAGCTGCTTGATATAAAAATCTCGTTTAACAGCCTGATTTGACAGCCTCTAAACGGGTTCATATGACTTTTATTTTACTCTTCTACCTAAGCATTTTTAGTTTGATTGACTGACTACGAAGCACTTGAATAAATCTGTATTAAAGATAACTGACTTCTAGTGTCTTGGGCCATAGGTCAAGTCACCAAAGAGGTTGTACATGTAAGTTGGCGATGATTGTCAAAATATATCCAAGGTTTATTACCATTTGTAATCAGGCATGTACAGAGCACTAAATAAAAATGCCTATTAATATCAAGATTGACTACGAACTGACTTCAGTCAGAGAAGTATTGTACACTAGAAGTACTGGAAAACTTTTCCACTCTTGTTTGGGACTCTTGAGCAGAATGCACTGCTGACCCCACGAGGGGTCGAACCCAGAACCTTCGGGCTACAAGGCAAGCTCGCTGACTATTCAGACACTGGAAAGGAACCGAATAACCCATAAATTCTGACTTCTACCAATTTGCGACATGCAGAGCAACCACTAGTCAATATCCTCGGCTTACTTTTGTCTTCACATCCGACTTGATGGGTCCCACTGCAAACCAACACTTAGAGATATACAGTAAGACAGATTTGTGGTAGTGCTTAAGGTCTAATAATATATTGAAGACACTATTTACAATCATACAGCATTCCTCCTTAAAACGGAATTTCACAACTAGGTTTATTCTATAAATTAGATTCAATTAGCTCATTTGTTTTGTAAGATTGCTACCGTGAAAGAATACAGTTAGAGATGAAAACAAACACGTATATGCTTAATTTAGATGTGGAAAAAGCAGTTACCAGATAATCAAGATATGCTATAAAAATTTGTATCTCTTGTTTTATTCCTTTCAAGATAAAATGTATAAATTAACTCAAAAAATAAGCTGAATAGACAGAAAATGACTGTCGGCTGCTTTTAAATAACCGCGAAAATTCCTACGAACCAATGGAACCAACTAGGTCTTCATAGAATGAATCGGTGTTTAAAACAAGAACAGTTCTTAGAAAATGAACCATTTCAGTAGATAATGTCACACTACAATTATTCCCTTCTTCATGTGGTAGTAATATTTCAACACTGTTCAGCTGGAACATAAGCGCTTGCAACCAACCTGCAAAGAGTACCGCAGTAACACTAAGCCAACATGCTATTTAAACTTTTCACAGCTTCCTACACTCTGGACAATAAATTATACAATTTTACTAGAAATTGCTTCTGTTCAGACATTTTACAGGTGGAATTTCGGCGACAGGAAGCCATCAGTTTGCTACAATAAGCTAATATGACACATGCCGTTTAAAGACAGACACTGAATGCATAAAACACTTCTGTAGATACAAGCACTCATAACAAATAATTGATCCTCATTAACTTAAAAAGCATTGATATATTTTTCTCATTAAATTCGTCAGAAGTTGTACACATTAAAGTTTTTGAAAAAGAAAAAAAACAGCCTGTTATAATGTTAACAGGTAATACTGGAAAGAAGAGGGAATTTTAAATATGAAATAAATTTGCAGTTGATGAAACCTCCTTATTTTATTATTTTTCAAAACGTTAATATAAAAAACAGGAAAATATGAAAATCTTAAGAGTACATACAGGTGTATATACAGACGTATATGTATGTACTTTTTGGGTTTCAAATCAGGAATCTTGATACATGACATCAAACAAAAACACTAAGGGGAATTTATTACTAAAGACAAAAGAAAATGAAATAGATATACGAAAAGATATAAAGTTAACCATGACTCGGATATGTATAACAAATAATATGTACAGCATTTTAAATCATGAGAGTTAGAGTCAATATCGTTGTTTAAAATTGTATTAATTGTCAATATTCAATAAAGATTTCGAAAGCCAAATATATTAATAAAGTAAGTAAGGCATAAATAGTCTATAATCCAATAAAACGAGTATCAAAATCCAATTCAAAAGTTTATCAATATCAACCAAATAGCTGTGTAAAACACTGATGACAGTAAGGTTTACCTGAATGCTCTCTAAATGTACCTGTTTGTAATGGGTGTAAACAGTAAGCACATATAAAATGCTCTGGATGATAACGTTTACCAAGTGCATTGACACATCGTCCAGTTATTGGTAATGAGCATGCTATGCATAATAAACCACGCCTAGAATAATAGTGTGAATCACAATAAGCATATCCATCAATTTCATGAAAGTTAGATCCAGTTAGTACTTTATTGCAATCCTAAGTTTGAAAAAAAGAAAGAAGAATAGAAAGGGGAAAGGATAAATACGAGTGAAACTCCGTCTGATCATGAATACGAAACACGTTTTATTAATCATGTTTTTGAGTTTAGACAATAGCTTAAATTTATCAGCACACTGTGTCATCTGATGCCTGCATAATATAGTTAAACAAATGCAGTCGAATAAGACAAAAGTGAGACAGATACATAGGAAAAGAGACTTACACGACAAGTGAAACAGTCTTTATGCCAAGGCATATCCAATGCTGTAATATAAGCATCTGTAATCGGCTGCTGACAACCAGAACATGGAGTTCCAAATTTTGTAAAATAACAATTCCTAAATATCAAAAGGAACCAAAGAATATATATATATTGAAAAATTATCTTAAAATCGAACAAAACTGAAATAGAAGAAAAACATTTATTCGCTTGAATATTGAAGCATAGCTAATAGATATCCCAGGTAGGAGGAATAATGTACGAGAACCTGTTGTATGATACATAAGACCAAAACCCTATTTATTAGATAAGAACTTTAAGTCTCTAAAAATTTAAGGCACTTTAATTACAAGTCTTAAAAAACTGTTTTTTCGAAACGGACGATTTAGTTGTGAAGCTTTTATTGTCGTGACATACTAGACACCATTATAATGGTAATCTATATTTTTTTCCAGTTTGTTTTACTATTATCATTATTCCCACTGGTTCAGAGTGGAACAGAAAGCTTTAGCAGCATATCCCTATTTTGCCTTGTTCTCTACAGTTCTCTTTAGCCAGCCCCACGATTGCCCATAGACGTTCACCTCCTCAGCACACAGTCTCTTCCATCTCACCTTCGGACGCCGAACTTATCGTTTCCCTTCCGGGTTCCACTCGATCAATTGCCCGGAGCGCGATGTCACTCACCGGTCTACCTAGCGTGTCTCCGATCCTTCTTCACTTTCCTCAGAATATTTCTTGAGCTACATGTTCTTGATTGGTTGATTCCTTTCCAGAGTTTTTCTTTTTGCTAATTCTTTCTGGTCATCTAAGGTTAGTTGAGACAGCTGTTGGTAAAAGTCTGCAGTGGCCTGTTCGAATGGCTTTTCGTGACTCATGAGCCAAGTAAATTAGAAGCAAAAACATAACTTGTAATTGACTGACATCAAACACAAAAGGCATCTAGATACCGAGAATCCCACACAGAAGAAGCCACTGAAATGCGTGCACAAGAAACAGGTCTGACCAGCCACTATTGCTACCCTAACCTGCTATTGAACCTATAAATTTATAAATTCTCCGTGACTTCCTTTAATCCATCTGATATTTAGTTTAGTACTCTATTAATGCATATCATCACTCACTGATGCTTTTAAAATGGAATCTGTAGAGACTACTGATTCAGTGTAATTTAAAACAGCACTAATGCTATTAATAACAATATCTCTTTAATTATTATGGTCATAAAAATGTAAAGACTCATGACAAATTTATGGAAGAGAATATTCTTCGTTCACTAATCAGTCTTTTAGATTATTGATAGGCATCTTCAATCAATAAAAGTATTATCAAAAGAGAACATAAAATAATCCTGAAAAGCAACAAAGGTGAAATTAAAAAGGCAAAAGAAAAGAGCCACTAATATACAAAACTCAATTTATTCACTTATAAAGTGTTCTAAATTTTAAAACGGATTTTTATGATTTAAACTATACAGCAGTAAAAGAATCCTATAAGAATATATCAAAGTCAGCCCTTCGATGGTTTACTGATAGAATGTTTGCTAGCCACGCCTATTGTACGGGGTTCGATTCACGGTCGAGGCATTTCTTAACCTCAACCCGCTTTTACCGGTTGATGGCAAGTCTGAAAAAAGAGAAGGTTGGACACCTACGCTACTGTAACTTCAAAGCTTGAAGACTTAGATTCCACTAGGAAAGCAAATGAACACTGTCCTATGTAAATACTGATTCTAATGTTCAACAAGATTGAAAGCAGGTTATCGAACAAACAACGACATATAACTGTAATATATAAACGAGCTTTAATGGTAAGATTCTAAACACAATTCGCTGTCTATCAGAGTTCGGCATACAAAAAGAAAAAGAAAACTAAATACTTTCTGCATTAATTCTTTTAAAATGTATCAACTTATTTGACGATTAGCTGCAGATCACAGGCATTTATGTGTCAAACTAAAGGCTGATAAGTAGACTGCCCAAGAAGCGTGACAATATAACCTCTAATACAGCAACGTTAAATACCCATCAAGAATTTTATTTTTCAGAAGATAATTTTGTTTTATTATGACACCCATGAATACTTCTAATTCAGGATTATTGTACCACGGTTTCATTCATCAGTAACTGTCTATGTATCATATCAGAGTTGGAAAATACTCAATTTAAACTTTTCTCAACAGTTATAATCCATGATCTAATAACCTAAAATCGAAGACAACAAAAAGGTCGAGCAAAAAATAGTCTTTCGGATAAATTTCTCTTCCGGCTCTCTCTCTCTATATATATATATATAAAGTATTCTGGAATAATCAGCATTAGGAGTATTGATGTTTTTTTAAAGATAATATCTACTTGTCAAGATCAATGGAATTACAGTTCAAGAAAGATGTATAAGTTATAATAAGCATACAAATGCAATACTAAATAGAATATCAAATAAAGCTAGGGGAATTTACTCAATAAATTAAGGATAAAAGTTTGTTGGCCATACATAAGTTAGGCTTCTTAATGTGGATTTTGATAGCCTCAGCAATATGTTAGAGACTAACTCTTGAGGTGAAATGAAGATTAGTCGGTATGCAGTAGATGACTTTGAAAGCCTTGTTAACATCAATTTTGTACTGTGTATCCACGAAATGAAATAGAATAGAAATATGAATGAAGTTTGTCTGTTCATTGCGTAAACACGTGGAATGGTGTTCTGACTTATATCAATCAGTCACATTACTGCATTGAATGTGATAAAAAGCCCCAAAGAAGCGGTGTCTACTTGGATATTATAACCCGTTTCACACAGTACTGCACATTTAGAGACTTCACCGGCATTGGGCTATTTGGATTTAAAATTGACTTCCTGTAAGACTACTACTTCGATGCATACACTGATTGGGTACTAAGAGTAGTAGTCTGAAAAAGTTGGGTTTTGGAGAAAGTCAGATATTCTAGATTGTGGAAAAACAGATTCTGAATGTCTCCTAGGCTTTAAGAGTCCTTTAGAACATGAATACTAAGCTGAAGAACTTTTAAAACCTGAAACACTTCAATACGACTTCCTTGAGCCTAGTGACAAAAATGTTCGTAGAATAGGATAAATCAAAGCTGAAGAATTCTTAACAAATATTCCGATATTGATGTGTTTACAAAAACAGTAAGTGTAAACATGAAAAACTAGAACTAGTGTTTAGGTAAACAAATCGATACGAAAGACATGTGTCAAATGCATCCTTCACTCAATGACAGATAAAAATTAGGCATTAAAATGACGAGATTTTATTTGTTTTCCTTGACAACTTCATTCTATCGTAAAAAAGAATTCTAAAATAACCATTTAAAATAGTCGTCTATGGCAACAACAGTACAGCAAGGAAGACAGCTAGCAATCGATCTAAATTTTTCACCTTTTCTGAGCACAACTCCTGTTTCATATACTTTTCAAAACTTTATCATACATCAAGAATATTCTCTTAGTGATCAAGACAAAAAAGCCTGTGTCTGTTAAGTGAATATCTAGACAACAATATAAAGCTGAATTCACTAATGACAGCTAAATGTACTGCATACTAGTGAAAATGACACTAATACTGTGAGTAGTAATTCTATGAGAATGAAATGCAAAAATTAAAATTACGCCTTGGTAATTAAAACAGGACACAACATTAATATGTTTTTTCCAATCCTTTGTATTCCGACTGGAAGAAATGGCTTCAAGCCTCAACTTTAAAGCCTCATTAGCGGTTGCGTTTCTTTTCCACAAGGTGGGGTTGCTAACCTCACTCTCAACCTTTCCTGATTATCAGGCCAACTACTGGCTACGCGAGACTAAGGAGTGCGTCAGCCATAAGTCGAACTCGGACCAGATCCACGGTTGTCGAGCATTCTATCGCTGAACTAACTTTTCAAAATTTAGTCTTTTGTGTAAGGAACAATAATTCACTTGTTATTCTCATTAATACTCAATATTTTCATTTATTTGAGGTTTTTTATTTAAAAACACAAAGTCAACATATTTGAACTTTGATATATAGACACAAAAGGGTTAAAATAAGTTAGTTAAATCAATTAATGCATAGCATAATCAGCTCGAAGATATGCAAATAGACCAACACAATATTTTTGCTAATATATTAACGAAAGTGCATTTCATTCTTCTGGTTCAAACAAATTATCAGTATATAGCAGGGGATTAAGATCAAAGTGTCAGTTATACAAAGCATAAACTATAAGATGTATATTGATTTGTTACTATCAGAGATGAGTAGCTTTTTAGAGCTTGAATATTTAGCAGTTAACATGACTTGTTGTAAGTATACAGCAAGATAGCTAGAATATAATACTGAAGAGTTTATATGGATAAAAAAAACTTTAAAACTGATAACAGTAATCAATAACTAGATGAGGCTAAACATACATAAGAATCTCCTCTATTCGTCCCCAAGCTTACAATACTTCTAAACTAATTCCAACCTATGCATTGATAATACCTTTTTATGGTAAATGAATATTTTATTTACCTAAACCGAACTCACTATGTACTGGAATAACGCTGATCGTTCTTAAAAACAGTACTTAACGCTTCATTAATATGAAGAAACTTTAAAAAATAGGATTTTCAGCTGAAATAATACCTTTAGTGCTGAAAAATTGCCACTATGGGTTGAACTAAGTGTTTTTGTTCTAAAGCAATGCCAGTCATTACTGAATTTAGGTTGATAGGGCTGGAATAAGTCGGATAAGCAAACACAGTAGGTTCTGAGCTACTTCTAAAAATGCCTAGAAAAAGCACAGGATGCTGAATTAGAGCCAGTCATGCTGAAAACCAACACTGAATTCTAGTCTGTGTGCATAATCAAACCATTTCAGAACAATTTCAGAATCTACTCATTATAGAATGTTCGAGTTAGTTCAGAATTGGCGAGATTTGATTCAGCATTATAATGCTGAAATCTACCAATTGGTAGATTATTTCTTGGCAAGTTTTATACAGAAAACAAAAAAGCGTTAAACATTTACACAAACACCTATAATCCAGTCATCAAGAATAAAGACTTAAGAGTATAAAGATCAATAAAAGTCAGCAGTATCTGAATCCATTAACTCTGTACTGTTGAATCTGATACTGAAAGACAAAGTTGACTCTGTGAGTTAACCATTAACACTACTCATGTGTGTACTCCATAAACTAAATAGGATAATCTTAGTTTGTTTATGCAAAGTACAAATGTTATCGTTGAATCACTGGTTCAGTGGTAAAATATTCGCCAACTACGGACATGGGCCGAGGTTCGATCTCTGACAGATGTACTCCTTAACCTCGATACTAGCCGGGTAAAGACGTAAGGTTGGGTATGAAATTAGCGACCTCATCCTGTAATAATTAAACAACCACGTTACTAAAACTTCAAAGCTAAAACTTATAGCTATGTGTTCGACTTGAAAGGCAAAGCATAAAACGAATAGTTATTAACAGCACACACTAAATCTTGAATTTAATTTGGTAAGAACAGTTACATTTTCAGTTCGAATTTGATTACCTTGTCAAAGATTGATATTTCATATCAGTCAAACAATTAACACTAACTATTTCTTATACTTAGACTTATACACTTATATCTAAGAATATAGAAAGTAAATAAAAAGTTTTAAAATGTCATAAATTAATGTATTCTTATGTCATAGAATACTTTAAAATCAATACTATTTCATAATGAACTCACGAGCAATACAGTCGACCGTTTTGTTCATGTACTGGTGATAATCCATTGAAATTTGAATGACATTCATAACAAAAGAAGTGTTCATGATGCCAAGCACGTGATAATGCTAAAACACACTTCTAAAATGAACAAAAACAATGAGTAAATATGAAGGATGTATCATTTGAAAGAAAATTTTATAACTACAAATACTCATTTAATTACAATCTTAACACGTTTCCTTTAAAGAATTGAAAATCAGTACAAAAATTCAAATGAAATGAAAAAGAATAACAACGGTTGTTTTAGTTACCAATGCAGTTTGAAATCAAATTTATGGAAATAATATTTCTTACAAGCTCCAATTGTCACTTATATATTATAGAAAAGAAAAGGCGTTCAGCAAAGAGTTACTCTTTTCGGCGATATCATTCTCAAGCTGTACAAACCGCAAATTTATAGTAATTTTATCTTGGCAACAAAAGGAATATTTCCAAAGATGTGTTAATGCAATTGTTAATTTTTTGACAACAAATTACGTAATTTAGAAGGCGTTAATCGGTTAGAAACTAAAATAAAGTTACAAAAGTAGGTTGGGTGACGTAATCTAATTGATAGGGTTCAATGAAAAATGAATGAGCGTCAAGTTAATAATCTGAGTAGAATTCACTTGAAAATGAATGAGAGTTAAGTTAATAAGCTGAGTAGAATTCACTTAAAAATAAATGGTCCTGAGCAATGGCAATTCACATATTGAATCCTGAACTCTGCATACAAAAGAAGTTTGTTCAGTCACTAAATCTACAATGGTCCTGATCTATCTTAACACCAAATATGTAATTTTGTCTTACCTCTTTCTTCTTTGTTTGTCTGTTTCTTAATTGCATTATTTTCTACCCCCACCCTCTATTAAATCTCTACCCTTATGACGACTGTTGCTAACTCCATTTTCGTTTATTTTCAAGTGAATTCTACTCAGATTATTAACTTGACGCTCATTCATTTTTCATTGAACCCTATCAATTAGATTACGTCACCCAACCTACTTTTGTAACTTTATTTTAGTTTCTAACCGATTAACGCCTTCTAAATTACGTAATTTGTTGTCAAAAAATTAACAATTGCATTAACACATCTTTGGAAATATTCCTTTTGTTGCCAAGATAAAATTACTATAAATTTGCGGTTTGTACAGCTTGAGAATGATATCGCCGAAAAGAGTAACTCTTTGCTGAACGTCTTTTCTTTTCTATGACTTATATATTAATTCCGAGTTCAATCAAGGATTGATATCAGTTAGAGAACCACTGAAAACCAGGGAGTACTGGACAGTTGTTTGGTCCTAGTTTAGGATTCATCCACAGTACGCACTTACCTGGAGGCAAGCTTAAAACAAATCAAATCCTTACAAACTAACTCTTGAAAACTGATATTAATTATTTTCACAAAGAAAAACATTATTTGATGGAGCTATTAGAAGGCCTTAGTATTTCAGAGATTGATCAACTTTTAATGCCCATTAATCACTTGTTTGATTGATTGTGATTAACAGTGGCGTCCAGGATGTGCGTTTTGTCCTATTTGGGACTTGTTAGCTAGTAGCCTGATTAAATTACTGAGCTGCCTAATTTTTAATCTGTGGAAATATATCTTATTTACGTAACTTTAATTATCCAGTTAAATCTTTGAATTGCAATCCGTACTCACAGTTATTATCAATTAAGTTTCAACCTACTGCTATGGGATTTTAGAAGGAAGGAGGGAAAAAGAAATATAGTAGGTTATAACAGGGTGCTTTGGATACTACAACATTTTTTTAGAGAATATATTATTGATTATTAATCTCCTTTACGATTTTACACAAGAAGTAAATGCTTTGTAATAGAACATGCTAGGAATTCTGCAATATGTATTATTCAGAATAGTGGGTGGTTATTATTTAAATTATCTATGTTGGTATTCCTGCTGATAGTAGAACTCAGTGCCGATCGTTTCAAACGGCGAAGCGCTATCCACTAAGGTCACTGAAGAAGGAAAGTTACCACTTGTGCAACGGGCATCAGTTATCATTTATTTAGGTTAATATGTATTTCCAGGTGATTGATTATATTGGATCAAAATACGCAGTCACTGTAGACATGTCGACTCCTCGTACAGACATGACAGAAGAGTCAGTACTGGTATAACGACAGAAGACAAGGGTCAGGTAACAGATAGTTTGTTGAGAAAATCAACAGATATTTATATATTTTTATGTACATTATTATTCGTTATTACTAGCAGAGAAACAGCGTCTTCTGATTGGTCGTTTTCTCACTGGAAGTTAATCTGTCATCTCTTTTTGGCCGTTTCTTTGAAGGTCAGACCATATATCTGCGATTCGTGTCCGCCCACGCGAAGTCTGCTGTGATTGGTTGTTGAGTTAGTCTTTGCTCTTGTTCTTTTCTCACGGCCAAGATTTGGGACGTAAACATTGACGTAAACTGCTGTCTACCAATTTGGCTAGCAGACAGCTCTCACCACACTGGGAGCCGGCATGTCAACGATTACTTTATTTATTTATTTAACCCACAAACTTCATACAATATGGGCGCCATGAGATGAGTGACATAACAATAATAAAACAAAAATATATAAAGAAAATAAGGAGAGGATGAATGAAGGATGTCATCCAGAGGGCAAGCAAGCATACTTGTCAAGATCATTCAATATTCATGACTTCACATTACTTGCAGAAAGAGAAGAAGGAAGGGGTTTGTAGCATGTTCACTATTCATTGCGATTCTTGTCCATAGCTGATAACATTTTGAGCTACCGATTTGAATTATTTTTCGAATACCAACCAAGGAGTCGTAATTACCCAACTGATACTTACCTAACACAAAAATCCTTAATCCCATGGCGCCAGTTCATAGGCTGACCAGAGACCGGTACGGAAGCCTCTTGGATAAAGTTCGTGGTACATGTCAAAAACCTCTGAAGCCGGTGTTTCAAGATAACTTCGATAAATGCTGACCTACATCATGTCCAAACATATGCTGCCAGACCTCAGTACTATTCACACGATGATACTATCGGACGCAAGCAGTTCTACAGAGAAAAGGGATGGAATACCTACAGTCACTGCACATTCTCAGCCTGGAGTGACCAGGTTTTACAGGCGTAAAGCAAGGCTGCCCACATCAAAGCATTGTAGACCTGGACTTTGACAGTCAGTCTGATGTTTTGACGGCGTCAGAAGTTACTCAAATTGGAGTATGCCAATATAGCTTTCACTATACTATTAAGGATTTCGTCCATCACACCTTCGCCAGCACTCACACAACTACCCGGATACACAAACTTGTCGACAACTTCAAGTAGTTCACGTGCAAGGGTGAGTCCAGGTACAGGCTCTTGCCAGTCTTGCAACAATACTTTTCACTTAGACGGCATAAAACACATACCATACCTACAGATACTGATTGCCTACTGATTAAATACGATTTGGGCAGCCTGTATGTCATATCACAGTAAGACGAAAACACAACGTTTCGGTTCAATAAAGTCAATCAATGGGGAACACAAATAAATAATCAATAATTAAATAAACTTTTAATAACTTATTTTAAGAAACTAGTAATTAATCAGAAATGAAAATTACTTGGTTATATGAAGACATTATTAGATCAAGCAAACATTACAAATAAAGGGATAGAATTATATAGCTCATCAAATTGTAAAAATCACTGAGTCCATATATGCGTTAATACCTAGAGACAAAGTTTTGTGTTCAACGGCCTTACCAAAGTATCCCACAGGTTTCATTAGATGCATTAGTTTATAGTGAATATTTAAAATTAAGTATTTAAATAAAGTGATAATTCTGTAGTAAACATGTTCCACCAGTATCTGAAAAAATCTCTAGTTAAAAGAATAATAACCTCTGTGGAAGATTCGATTCGATGCTAGATAGATTTGTTTTATAAAAACGCACAGTAATACACTGTTAGTAACAGAATGATGTTTCACATACAACTTATCGTTCATAATAACATCAACGCATACATGTGACTTCTTAACTTGGTTTATTTAGATGTACCCTCTGCTGTTTCCTCTTTGATTTTTCATATATCTGGGATAGATGTTGCGTCACTTCAATTCCACGTATTTAGTGTTGTTTCAATGATTAACATCTCTCCCCACCTAACCATATTACTTTTTAAAAACTTTTATCCGATCTTACTTTATTGTTTGATTACATTTGGTCAACAATATTTCCAGATTACTGAACTTTGAAAAGTCAGCTATTCTTGATCTGTCTAAATTCCTATGTTCCGTTAGGCTATCGGTATTCAACCTCAATACACCAATTTTACTACTACATTAAGAAGATTGTATGCCTTTTGTGGATGTGCTTACCACAAGCTGAATTATATACATCTACCTTAAAAGTAATATTTTGGTGAATATATTAAGCATATTTGATCAGTTGACGTTTTGTTTATGATTTTTAACAATGACAAGTTAAATTGTAGTATGTCAACAAAATAGTAAACAATTCACACTTTGACTGACTATCATTAAACAAAATGAACATCTTAGGGATCAAGTTTTCAGCTACACATTTGGATTAGTTCATAGGAAATTTACTTTTATTCTGTATTATAATAAAAGTTATCTTCATGACATATTTCCAATATTACCTTTAAACGTTTTCATAGAAATATTGGTAAAGTATAGCCGTAAGTATACTGGCTTAAATGAACCAGTAGTCATGTTAGTCAGTGATAGCAATGTGTTTCCTCGTAGTAATAATATCTAAGCAATAGGCTAAAGAATTAAACTTATAAAATTGCATCTTCATGACTTTAGGGCTAGTATATGCGGCCTATCACATCAGAAATGCTTCATCTTTATTTGGTATTCAAGTGGAGTTTATTCAAAATAATGTCTTTCGGGAGTAGGCTTTATTATCACTTGAATGATATTACTAGACAACTTGTGTTAGATGAATTATATTAAAAGTCTGATTTATGAACAAAGAATATTCTTTTCCATAAATTCGTCATCAGGCTCTACATTTATATGATCATAATAATTAAAGAAATATTGACCTTAACAACATTAACGCTGATTTCAATTACACTGAATCAACAGT